CCCTGAGTTGTCTCCCTGTACCTGAGCAGCCCTTTTTTCTCTCATGCTTATTCTCTCCAAGTAGTGCATCTACCTCAGGTAAATGCTCAACTGGTATGCCTGTCTGTTGTTTGGCTGGAAGCCACAGGTGTGTGTTCAATTCCAGACCTGAAGGGCAGGTAGGGGCCATAGTCTCAGTGGTTCCACCAGGCTCCCTCAGGCCAGCAAACCTGTTCCCCACTTTTTTTTTTTCCCAAATGATTTTGAGTTTTGTTCCACATTGTTCCCCCTGTCTATCCAGGATCTCCTACAAAGATCCTCTTCCAAGTGGTTGACAGTAGTAGCTGAGCACCATTTATTTCTCCTGGTCTAAGTCATATAGGCTGCAGATTGGATGGTGTACCAATCGCTAGGACTAATTGTTTCCATGAATTTTACTGCAAAAATCCCAAATTCTAAATAAGTTTGAAGTTCATATTAAAAAATGATTCAATAATTAGGTTTGGATATCTATGCAATTAAGTAGTTGGAGAATATGGAATCAGTGTTTCATAACCTAAATGAACTAAGGAAAACTATAATGGATAGTGTATTACCTGGAACATAGGAATGAAAGATGATAGTCACAGCAATATTTGAAAAATTGTGACCTTCAGTAATTCTTGGTATTTTCCAGGCAGTTTATTTAGTAAATATATTGCTTATAATGCTGTGAAATAAAACAGGAAAAAAAAAAAAGTATTCCTGTTAACTTTTTAGGTGTTTATGGAACACTGGTGGTTCAGTGGTAAAATTCTCACCTCCATTCAGGTTCCACTCGTGGCCAGTGCAGCCCAGGTGCAGCCTCCATCTGTTAGTGGAGGACTGTGTGTTGCTGTGATGCTGAACAAGTTTCAACAGTTTCCAGACAAAGATATATTAGGCAGAAAGGCCTGGTGATCTCCTTCTGAAAATCAGCCAGTGAAAATCCCATGGATCGGACCAGGTTTGCTGGTCTGATAGAGCTTGGTGGAACCACTGAGACTATGGCCCCTAGCTGCCCTTCAGATCTGGAATTGAACCCACACCTGTAGTTTCCACCCAAACAAAATACAGGTATATGAGTCGAACATTTATTTACCTCAGTAGATACACTCCTTGGAGAGAATAATCATGGGAGAAAGAAGGGCTGCTTATGCACCGGGAGACAGCTTAGGGGCAGGAGGGCATGGAGGGAAGGACACAGGGAAGAGGTAATTATCGGGAGGAAGCGGGAGGGGAGCTGTTGCATTGTGGTAAATTGTGGTCAATGTCATGAGACAAAATGTATGTGAACTGCTGTATGGAAAGTGAAATTGCTCCGTAAATCTTCACCCAAATCACACACACACACAAAATCCCATGGATCATAACAGTCCAATTCCATTGTGCATGGGGTCATGATGATTCAGGGACTGGCTTGATGGAAGTTGACAACAACAGATCCCTAAATGTTGGGCTAACCTAAGACCTCTACTCCACTATTTGTTCTGTGTTAACTTTTAGCAGCAGATGTAAAGGAGGTTTAGCAGCAAAGAATTTTATATCCCTGTACTATTCAACTAAAGATTTTCTGAAGTACAGACAATTATACTTTCTATTAAATGTTATTTCACAAACTATAGGCTATAACATCTGAACCTACACTAGGATAGTAAACTGAAAAGAATTTGTGCTTTCCACTGCATTTGGAGAAAGTGACTTTTCAAAAACATCAGTTCTCAGCAAATTATAGGATAAGGAAAAAAGAGGAGAAAAGTGGAAAATATAAAAGAGGAGAAGGTGTTTATATGGTTAGGAATAATACTGCTGTGTGTGTGAATCAAAATGAGGCTGTTGATTTCACCCCCACACACAGTGATAATGGCATGGACTTTGCCATAAGCTTAAATTTCTAGTTAGTTTCAGCTCCCATAACCTTGATGCTTTTCAGAGTCACTTTAAATAAAACCAACTAAAAACCAAACTCACTGCTGTAGTCAGTTCAACTCATAGCAACCCCTCCTTGGGTTTCCAAGGAAATCTGGTAGCATAGTGCCTAAGGCACTTGACTGCTAACCAGAAGGCTGGTGGTTCAAACCCACCAGCCACTCCTCGGAAGGAAGG